AGGTGCTTCCAAGATTTGGATGGCTCAAGCAGAATCAATGGCCCATCAGTTTAGTAATCGGGTGTAGGGTGTGCCAAGTCCTATGGGATGATCTTAGATGAAGTTCAGATAAGTCTTCCCATTTTTTCTTTTTGTTTATTTTCAGTTTTCATTTCTCACTTTATTGTTCTCGATTTCTACTTGTATTAGGATTCTATTTGAATTAGAATTCTACTTGTAATTGAATCATGTTTATGAATAAATTTTATGGTTTTTTTAGACAATAAGAGTTAGGATCCATAGCTAGTAATGGGTTTTATTTTCCACTTCGTAATTTGCCATTGTAAGTAGAATTACCTGGTTGTTAATAAAAGAAAAAAAAAATCGGTTCCATTACTTTCAGGTTCCACATCTACATCAAGTTCAACATCTACATCAGCTCTAGGGATCGAGGAGGAGGAGGAAGAAGTGTTTGTATAGGAGGGCAATAAAACTTATGATGACAATCTTCAGTCTCAAGGTCGTATGGGGAAGTTGCGTATGATAGATCATCACATGACTTACTTGTTTAACAGTTGAAGTTGGCACATTGACTCATTGAGCTTGAGTAATTGAGTGTATTTGTCATCTTCTATATTTTGTATGCTATGTGTTGCGGGTTTGTGGCCATTTAAAGACCTTATGAGAGCATGTATTAAAAACATTATAGTGAAATATTGGCTCTAGTGGGAGTATGGTCTACTTTAGACTATGAGGCACTGCTAGTGCGATAACTCATCTGAACTTTGATTGGCTATGGCTCATAGGTGATGTCTAAAACCCATAGTCATGGGCATTGTACAACCAATGAGGGTTTCAATGTGGGGTTATCTCTTGATGAAGTTGCAGTTGTACCCATGACAGCTTGCCTAGAGGACTCAATGAGACTCTTGTGTGTGATGGATGGTTGGAAGGACAAGGGCCTAAATCCTCATCATTATCATCACGTGCAATGTACACTAGATAACCGTTCGAGAAGCGGCCCTTTTGAATAAAGGTATATAACGTGTACATGTGCGAAAGAGATGACTCTCTGCAACATTGGACTGCGTTGGAAGGATCCATAAGCAGTGCTGAAATGGGACCTAGACTTGTCCTCAAGGTGGGACATGTAATCCATGGATTAGGATCGCATCTCCTTCACTTACTGGCTTACTTTATTAGTCCAATCATGAACCCCGGCAAAAGGCTATAGGTCATGGGAACTATTGAGCCAGTTTGAGAAGGTGCAGTGAGATACGGCCTCTAGAAATGATGGAATCCTCAGTATATTTGTCGTAAACGTAAATTTATTGATCCTATTCCCATCAAATCTCTTTGAATATGTTTTAGTTATTTTTGGGTAATTAAAAAGAATTTTTTGGATCTCTTTGGGTATTATATTTTATTGAAATATAATTTTTAAATAGAGAAAAATCAATTTCTGGATTTATTTTAATCATAGAGAAAAATAAATTATTTAATGACTACATAAATTTTATTTGATTATCTCAAAATTAATTTCTAATATATTGGGGACCCATTGGATTTTATTGGGCCCACCAATTAGTGGGGTGTGGGGTCCACATGGCCACCCATGGGGTGGGCGTCCCACCTCCTCTTATTCTTTCCTAAATTGGTTGTTTCTAATTAAGCCACATGTTGACTTGAGAATTTTAGAAAAGTGTGGTGTAAAGATTTTTATTGATTTCAAAAAGGAAAAGTGTAAGAATTAATCGATATTGATGTAGTACTTTCTCTACCTAACATTTGATGGGAATAGAGTTATGGAAACTAAGGGATAATAGTTCCACCTCATTCCTTTAATCATGATGGTTGATCTAAAGAATGAATAGATGAGACAACTTCACCCGCAGGTCTCTAAGATCCAAGGTCAAGATTGAGTCTCATAATGATGGTAAAACCCTAACCCTAGAAACCGTAACTTTTATTCTATATAAACTAGCTATAGGGGGCTTATTCTCTATACACTTGACATCTCAATCTCTCTCTCTCTAAGCCTAAGGGGTGGCACACCCTTCTTTAATCTCTCTCTATTTTTATCTCTCTAAATTAGGGCTTAGGAAGCATAAGAAACCCTACGGGTGGCATGCCCAAGTAGCAACACCCTAGCCTTCTAGTTTGTCTTTATGCTCATGTGTTGAGCTTTGGTCTAGGTTATCCCACGTCATGCTCTGTTGGTTTTGTCAAGACTTCCCAAGTTGTGAGATAAGTTCTTGTACCAAGATCCCATGCACTATTGGTGGAGGAAACCCGACGTGGAGTGTGTTTAGTCCTTAGAGGTAAGGCAAAGTATACTACAATTTATTGGTTCATGTTCTTTTTTATTTAATTGCATCTTTTATGTAATTTTCAAATCTATGTTGTGAATGTAATTTTATTTTAATGGCAAGCAAGTAAGAGTCCTTAGTATTATATTTGTTTCATATATTGTATTTGGACACTTATGAGTGATTCAGGTGGCAATACAAAAGAAAATATAAACAAATTTTAATGGGTATTGACTTGCCTAGTCACATAGTCTACTTTTCATTATGAACTTTTGATCGTCTTAATTAGAAAGTTATATAATATACTAATATGAATTTGACTGGTTGTGCAGTTTTGATCGTGAAATCGTGATTATGAAATACCTTTTGTCTTTGGATTTTATGCTAAATTGTTAACTATAGTTACGATTTGGCATTTTGGGTTTTATTTATTTATTTTCATAAATATGATGGAATGATTGCTTTACTTTACATGTAAGACAGTGACCTCTGTTACTCTTTATTAGACAATCAGGCTATTAGGAGACTTAGACATCAATATATTAGAGAAAAGTGCAAAATGCAAAATTAAAATTCTACTATCACATAAATCGCACATTTGTTTTTTTCTATGCATTATTATATTTTATAGAGTTTTAAATTTATCGACTGCATCGCATGTGATGCACCCACCTCGGGACTGCATTGAGTCGCATCCCACATGGGACCCTTATAGCATCTAGTCAGCATCCAACATTTGATAGTATTGGGCATCATTAAAGGTATTCAATCCCTTATGTACACTAATAAATATGCACACGATCCAAATTACCCTTTACAACTTAGGAGTGTTTGTAGATTCCCGAAAACCCTATAAACCAAATTGAAGGATGAATAGAAAAAATGCATAACCATTTTGTTCATTACCGCATTACATTTATCTTTGGTCACTGTCTACTAATCAGGGCATTGACAGAAATGAAACAAGATAGACAACAACACCTCAAATGAACCTCCATAAAAATGACTGTCGACCTCTACGTGGTTTGTCTAGTCACCGGATAAAAGAAATTAGTCACAAAGTACACAACTGAAGCACCACAAACTGTGGATAGCATTATAGTCATAACATTGCTAGAAGATGAGACCTGAATCTCAAGAATTGTCAAAAAAAGCTCGATAGCATATTTTACTTTGATGCTCGCAAAAGATTTAGCTATGTAGTTAGGCTTTGCACTAAACATGGACCCATTATCTTATTTCTTTGCTGTGATAAGAAACGAAAATGTCAACAAGAAATATACAGTAGCTAGTTGTGGATTGTCTCATACCAGGCCATTAATGGCCAAAACCTATTATCTGATTAAGATAGAACAATGCAGGTCATAAATGATGAACAACAGCCGTGAGACAGCTCTCTGAGGAGAGAATAAATTCATGCATCCACCCAACCTATATGTTTGGTTAGGTAAGGGTCTGATATAGTCCTACTACGCATCTATAAAGAGGCAGAGGTGAGTACCTGACAAAGTTCCATGGGCTTATCCTGTCTCACCTATGATTTTCTCTTTTTTCCTCTCCAATTATTCTTCTCTTTCATATTATTTCATTGAGTTACACTGATATTCTTAGAAGAGAATGTGAACTCAAAGGCTAAAAACTATAACAGACTACGTTGACTCGACATTGATATTCTCTAAAGAGAATGTGAACTCAAGGGCTAAAAAGTAAACACTACAATTGACTACACTGTCTATCAATGAAACCCTTTGCTGTAAGGTCCTCATTGAAAAGGGATATAGAATATTGTAAGCAATCATCACATTCAATCCCTATGTTATCCATGCAAACTTTGAGTCGCCTTGGCAAACCAAAGAAAACTCCCTAAAACAGTGGAACAGAAGTCCACAAGTCCAAGCTCTAGCTTTCTGTATGAATCCTATACCAACTAGTAGATGTGCCTGTTAAGTTCTTAACAATATAATGCATGTAGCAAAGAACAAAATGTGAAGGAATAATTCATGGGAAAAGAAATGCTGTTCTGAGAATGCCAGTAAAGCCACGCAACTCTGACAACACAAGGGACATATTTGAAGGCTGAGAAGTATTCAGCAGTGAATTTAGTGAATATCTAGATGCATAGATATCCACACAAGAGAATCATTAGGTGAATCTCGACAACATACAAGTCAATCAGAAATATTAGAACAATTTTCATTCTACAATTTAAAAATCCTTGTATATGATGTTTATTAAGGACAAATGACTTCAATGCTCTTACAAACATATGAATGATGAAAACGATATAACATTGTCGTTCATAGTTGCAAAACTGCAGATCTACTTTTAATATATACAATATAAGGAGAATCCAATACCAAATTAAAAATAAGTGCTGTAGTGGTTCAGGGGATTAAGAGACCAAGTGTTACCATGCAAGGGAACATCCTAGGTGCCAAACTAAAATTTGCCAATTGTAGTCTGTATAAACAAGAAAACGTCATCGTTTTTGTGAACAAGATATTACTAGAATTGCAAGAGGCGCATCCATGTTCAGAAATACAACAGATACAAACCCAACAACTCATGGTCTATGAAGGTATTTAATGGACTAGGAAACTATAGTGACAAAAAAGAAGAATGATACATAAATGATAACCTACATCATGTCAGATGGCAGTTTTGAGAAGTTATTTCATATAAGATAGATGAAGTAAATCATGGGTCTGTCACCTGAAATTGCAACTCTCAGAAACTTCACTTGCACTTGAGAGGAAAAGTTTTAATGCATTAATGACATCAGATGTTGGATACCATATATGCGGTCGATCATAGGACTCTGTTATTTCCTTTAAAGAAGCTCTACACAATCCCTCTGCTTTGGAAGGCTTATGCTCTTCAATTACAAATATTTCTGAAGTTGAAATCATAACTGGATCGACATCAGGAAATGCCACAATGACATCCCTATTTTTGTCCTGCAGGACAACATAAGAAATATGTAAATAAAATGTATTGATTTGGTGGGTACAAGGTCTCTACTACTTAATGGAACTTCATATGCAAAATAGAGGTTGAAGATGTCATTCCATCTATATTCTGGATTGAATGGACACATAGAATCCTTTGGCAGCAGTCATCATTGCCTTTTGCCAAGTTCAGATATTTATTGACGAATATGATATGTCAAAAACATTCAACACTGATCAATGCATGCAAAATAAACTTCAGTATGAATATATCAATATTTCTACCCAAACAGGTTTCTCTAAGGGAAATTTATCAAAAAGCACCGAAGAGATTAACTATTTCATCAGCTTCTTTTGATTTTAATTTAAAAAATCCCATCAAGGCACATAATTGTGAGTATTGTTGTTAGTATTATAGTTGACATTTAGGTGTGTTTTGATAAATTAACCTTCCTTTAAATATGTCAGATTCTGTAACAAAGGAAAAATGCGCTTGAAGAAACTTTAGACATTGAAGTAACAATAAAATGAAATGTAATGAGATCATCTATATGAAAACATCAATTTTTAACCATCTTGAAGAAAATGCCCAAGAGAGGGTTTGTTTATATTGGTGCATGCAGGTGAGAAGCAGTAAACTGCATGGCAACCTCCTCAACCGAAGTCGATATTGAGCACAGGAACACGTCACATGAAACATCCAATGCCAACAACAAACAATTGGGGTGACAAGCAGTTTATTTCTTATAAACTGCAGTGCACCAGAGTATGTTTCTGTGTCCAAAACCATAATCCATTGTGATTGCAGAAATGTAAATGTAAAGATATCTCACTTATTTTCGGGCAAAATTCAAGATTGATTCTCAAAAGCCTGTGACTGTTGGTTTTAGAACGAGGGCCACAGTCCCAGACCGCGCCTTCCAGTAGGAATTAAAGCTCAACAAAATAGAATGTTACCGCAACTAATTTACTAGACAATTAGGCTTTTTAGGCTTCTCAGACACATGACATACAATTCTCAGCATCAATAGTTAATTGAATCAAATCAATCCACTTGCAATATAATTTAATTTACGACAATTTTATATTGTGAAAAACGAGCAAACTAGGGACAATATTTAGACCCATAGTTTACACTTCAATCACTAGAACTAGGGTCTTTGCAAACAGTACATGTCCTGCTCAATTTTTCCCTTCAAACTTTGACCATCGAAGTGCTGAAATAAAAAAATATGATTTACACTATTTAAATTTAAGTCCAAATCAATCGAATTTAATTATGTTTTGTTTGCAAATCAATAAATTGAAATAAAAATTATATACAATCTATTCCATATAGCAGCTACATACATTATAAATTGTTATTGCTGATATTCTGTTTGTAGAGATGAAATCGTACTTAATATAATTAGTAAGTACATACCCTACTTGCTATAAGTTTTAAGCCACTCCAGAATCAGCCCAAGGGAGCATGCTCCAAAACATGAGCACAATTTTTCGGTGCTAGTAATACTGTACTAGTAGCACCACTAACATCACAAATAGTGGTACTAATGAAAAATGAATATATCCTCAGCATTGATATTATTAAAAGAAACAACATTCTAGACTCCCAAAAATATCTTACATATTTTCCATCGGTGCAATTGTACACGGTGTGGTAGAGTATATTCCAAGCATCTTGCAATGCTTTCACCGTCTTCCCATATCGCTGGTTTGGATACTTGTATATCCATTTCTGCAATTAAGAAATTGAGTGGGTTGCCGTCAAATTAAGAAAACACAAGGAGATATGCATATGAAATAGTCAATTCTAGGATACAAGCACTAAGGCATCACATTTGCTTAGGGCCCCATCTTTTAGTGAAGCAATTGAGCAATATGAAAACGCAGTTATTATTACTAAATGCTCATAAGGTTTTCAAAAGAACATAGAAAATTTTCTATAATTGGATATCATGAATACGATAAAGGGAATGCAACTTGAAGTGTACAATCCTATTCATCCACGAAATAGTTGAACTTCAAGAAAGAATTCCAGAAAACTCAATGACTAACCGATTCATAAAATAGTTTATATGAAATATTTTTGAGGATATTTTATGCCAATACCTCCGAGGAAATGGACATAAGAGGCACAAACCAAAAATTTATTCTAGAAGGTTCAGTTGAGCATGACAACAGAAAATTTTGAAGAAATTGCTTCCATTGCATCTGGACTATACCTCATATAGCAAAAGGAAAGTTTTCACATATATTCCTAACCAACGAAGGAAATGGAAAGTATGCGTATGCACTAATAGAATAATCTCCTAGCTATAAATCATCATCATCATCATCATCATCATCTGGGCCTTTTCCTAGCTATTTAGTTTATGTTACGCGAATCCCATTTGCCAATCCGCTGTAACATGGGCCACACCATTAGTCAAACCATAAGCCATTATATCTCTTCTCACTACTTCCACCCATACCCTTTTGGGCATTACCCTTACCCTTTTAGAGCCTTCTACTTGAACCAATCATCCCACCTAACCAGTGAATGTTCTAGGTCGACTCTTCAAATAGTCAAACTACCTAAGTCTACTTTCCCTCATTTTATCGCCTATTGGAGCTACTCTAAGTTCCTTCGGATGTATTTATTCGAATTCTATCATTGTCTTGCCATGCATCCATCTCAACATCATCATCTCAGCTACACTCATTCTATGGATATGTTGTTTATTTACCGCCCAATATTCTGTCCCATAAAGCATGGCTGGTCTTACAGTCGTCCTATAAAACTTTCCCTCCAGCTTTATTGGTATATGTGACAATCACATAAGATTTCCAAAGCGCATCTCCATGTTGTCCACTCATCTCTAATTCAATACACAAAATCTTGCTCAATCTCTGCACTCTCATAAAATATCAACCCAAGATATTGAAAATAATCTCTTTCAGGTGTTTCTTCGTCATCAATCTTAACTAATTCCTCATTTCTACTCCAATTATTACTAAATTTGTATTCTATGTATTCTATCTTAGTTAGACTCATTTTAAAACATTTAGATTCTATGGCATCCCTCTAAAGTTCTAACTTTGCGTTGACTCCATCTCTAGTCTCATTAAAGAAAACTATGTCATTCGTAAACAACATACACTATGGTACCTCAGCCTATAGATGCCTAGTTAATTTGTCCATAACCAAAGCAAAGAGATATGGGCTTAAAGCTGACCCCTAATATAGGCCTACTATCACTAAAAACTCACTTGTTTCTTTACTAATTATCCTCATACAAGTTACTGCTCCCTTACACATATCCCTCACCATGCCAATACATTCTCTAGATATTCCGTTCTTTACCAACACCCACCAAATTAACTCTCTAGTTTCCCTATCGTATGCTTTCTTTAAGGCAATAAAGATCATGTGGATGTCTTTTTTTCTCCTTAAACTTCTCAATTTATTGCCTACGTAGGAAAATTACCTCGATGGTACCTCCTAGAAATAAACCGAATTGATTTTCTAATACATTCTTTTCATGTCGTGGTCGTTGCTCAATCACTCTCTTCCACAGCTTAAATGTGTGGCTCATAAGTTTGATCTCTCGATAGTTCGCACAATTATATATGTCTCCTTTATTCTTGTAAATGGGTACCATAGTACTTTTTCTTCATTCGTCTAGCATTTTCATTGTTCTCAAAATCTTGTAAACTAGCTTGGTCAACCAGAATATGCCACATCTCCCATATGCACTTCCAAACCGCAATTGGTATACCATTTGGTCCTAAAGCCATTCCTATATTCATCTTTCACAAAGCTTCTTTCACTTTTGATATCCAAATACTATAATGTATCTATGACATTTAACCTCATTTGTGTCAAAGGTTCCTCCTAATGTAGTGCTCCCAAAGTGGTTGTCATTCAACAATTTTTGAAATAAATTTTCCAAGGCATAAATAAATACATGATATACCTATGCTGTTTCCATCTTAAGAGATGCGTAGAGGCTAAAGAGCTTGGATAAAATATATTGACATCAATCTCTAAGCTAATAACTTTCTGGAACCTTCCACTACCATGCTAACAACGTTCAAGAACTTTTCACTAGCATGAAGATGTGGAAACATAGAATACATTATCATCATCATCATCATCATCATCACCATCATCATCATCATCATCATCATCACCACCATCATCATCATCGTCATCATCAAAGCTTTATTCCAACTATTTGAGGTCGGCTACACGAATCTTATTTTGCAATTCTGTCTTTTTAAGGGTCATACCTTCAATCAGACCATAAGGCACTATATCTCTATTCACTAATTTCATCGATGTCCTTTTGGGCCCTCATTTTGCCCCTTTAAGAGCCTTCCACTTGGACTAAATTACCTCTCCTAATAATATATATATATATATATATATATCCAATCCATCAGCTTGTGAATAATCTCCAAAGAAGAAAATAGGCAAGTAGACCACATGTTTGTTTACAAGCAAATCCATGAAGGATCCATTCAGGTTAAACTGAAACAAACTTGAAAGGAGAGATTTTGAAAAGAAAAATGAAAGTATAACTCAATGAAAGAGATGCAGTTAGAAGTATATATATATTGCTCTATGCGCACACCACCAAGGCGGTGACCATAGAACTTTTTTGAGAATAAAAATTGTAAAGAAGAGAAACTTATTGTTGCTTTATCTTTAAAATAAAGCAAATTTAAAAGATTCAAAAATCAATTTAAAATATGAAAATTAAGCTTAACAAAAAAAGAACGAGAGATAGAAATGTACCTTGTAGGTGTCATTGACACAGTACTAAGAGCAGAATAAAGAATAATTAAACTGATATAGGCGAAGGACAACACCAAAGAAGTGAATAATTAGCTTTACAGCTAATTGAAGGACATGTAGGCATGGTATTGGACAGTATAAGAGGTTTCTGAAAAGGAATTAGCGTTTTGAGTAGCTAATTGATGCAAAAAAATAAAGAAACAAAGAAAGAAGAATTCTAAAAAAATTTGATGAATCGATACAAATTCAAAGGAAGCTAACAAGCCTAGCTTCAATGGCTGTGCAGAATTCACAAGGATTCAAGGAAAAAATGTTTCTAAACAATAACTCAAGTCTCTCTTCTAAATTTTCTACATAGAACCCTATTTAAATAGAAAACCTTACTTAGAACCCAAGAATCCTAATTCTAATTGGAATAGAAGCCCTAACTAAAACAAAATTCATAATGATATTTTTACCCCAAATAAAAATAATAATTCCATAAACAGTCTAACTACTTTTCTAAACAACTCCTAAAATCCCAAAAGTATTAAAAAAACCTAGAATCCCGTAAAACACTAAAAACAAAAAACCCAATAAATAATCTTAAAAATTCAAAGTACATCCATAGAGTCTAAAAAGAAAAATTCAAAAATAAGAGGTATTATATCCTGCATTAGGCTCCCCTTGTTGGGAAAAAAACTCATATTTGAGGTTTAAAGTGCATTAAGATGAAACCAACATCAAAACCACCTACTTCTTCTTTTTGGCTCAAAGATTATTAGTGGTAAGAAGAAATTGTCAGGAAATGGATCTTGGTATATGTTGGGGTTTTCTGGCCTTTAAGGCTGTGAGAGCATGTAAATAAAGAATTATAGTAGATTATGCACATCAGTGGGAGTGCGTGTGTTGGTTGACTGACTTAAGGCTAGGCAGTCTATGGCCCAGGTCATGTCTGCAACCCTTTTTGCTTTTGATAAGTCAGTGCGAGAGAAGGCCCCCTACTCAGAAAAATAATTAACGTATAACCCTATAGTAGGGCAATTGCGCCAGATCATGTAAAAAAAGAGAGGAAAGAAAATATGGCGGTCTATGGCGCCACACAATAGCATCGGGGCCAGTAGATGCCCTCTTAGCGAGGGCATCAGCAACCATGTTTGCCTCCCAAAAAACATGTATAACAGACCATCGATGAGAAAAAAGTCCGGTGCAGTAATTATCTGCAATCGTCATTAGCCGTCATGGAGCATTGCATCGATTCTGAATGACATTCACAAACAAAGCCAAATCACTTTCTATCTGTATTGGAAAGCAATTCCTTTGATGAACCAAATGAATTCCTTCCTCAAGTGCCAAAAATTCTGCACGGTTATTAGAAGCAAAACCAAAATGCTTTGCAAAAGCAGCAATGAAACCGCCCTCTATGGTCCTGATGACTCTGCCACCACTTGCTAAACCTGGATTTTTCAAGGAAGCACCATCAATATTGAGCTTGTAATTTTGAGCTTCAAGAAAAGACCACGCCACCGGAATAAGAGATTCTGACATCTGCTGACGCAAAGTTATTTGAAAATTACCAGCTATGGCCTTTTTTGATAATTGGAAATACCACTTTTTAACTTCTGCTACTGCCTGAACATGTAAGATAATCCGTTTCACAATAAGGTCTCTCCTGGTGGATCTTGACTCAAAGATTCTTCTGTTGCGCTCTTCCCATAGAAACCAAATAGCAGTAAAAAAGATGGAAGACCAAAATATTACGAAGTCCATATGATTTAAACCTAAAAAGTAACCACCACCTAAGTAAAGCAATGACAGAAGTACCGAGGACAAACCGTTTTCCTCATCTCCAAGCTAATGATCTCCATACACCGTGCGCAAAAGCACATTGGAATAATAAATGGACAAGGCTGTCATCATGGTTGCTACAAAAGGGACATAAAGAGTCCCATTGCGTACCCCGCTGCTGCAATAAA